AGGTTTCTGAGCTATAGCTTACAATAGCTAGAGGCTGCCAGTTGACCTGGAGTGGAGAATAACTCTAGACATCTCAGGAAAACGAGGTCTTCCAGTTTGCCAAGAGTTCTTTCCTCTGTTAATGGACTGGGAAGGAGAAAAACACCCAGGCCATTTGGTCATTCATGAAACATGGTTGCGTGCTGGTCCCTGAGCAATCACTAGTGATGGGAATGTGACCATGAGGTTGACTTTGTCCCTCTGCATTAAGGCTCCTTTGCAATTTAAATCTATTAAGCCATCCATTGATCCATGTCCACAATCCAATGAAGTGGGCACCAAGATGGTCCTCTTTAGAGATGAGAAAACAGAGGCATAGAGAGGATTGGCACCTTGCCCAAGGTCACAAGATTGGTCAGAGCAGAACTGATTGGATCCCGGGACTTCCAACCCTGGAGTGGGTTCCCTTCACCTCTGTGTGGATGGAAGTCTTGATGGCTACCTGGGACAGCCTGGGTAAGGCATAATCTGACAGGTAGGTAGTGTGGCAGAATATGGCCAGTGGTTCCCAGGTGAAGGAATGATCAGCCTGAGGTCAGTGCCTGGGGGATGGGCAATAAACCTAGAAAAACATACTTTTAACTCTTTGGGGTGGGGTCAGGGGGGGGGGTTGGCTTTCTCTCCCAGGGTACAGCACTCCACGTAGACCAGATGTCCCTGGTTCATAGCCCAGTCAGGCTGGGAAACTTAGGGGAAAGTATCCCCTGTGATAGGGAAGGCCAGGCAGGGTAAGTTGCCCTATAGACTTGGGAGCTCAGTTTCTGAAAGTTTCACAGATTATCAGCTCCTGAGCCCATGATCTGAGGGCTCTGCAAGTGGTTGGAGAGTCTTGGAATTAAACCAGGTTCTTTCAAGTAGGAAGAGCATGGGGTACTGAGCAATGTCTGGGTGGTTCAGAGGGATGTCTTGCTGAGGTCAGAGTCACAAGAATCAAGGAGGACAAAAGTGCCCTTTCTCAGGACACACACACAGTGACAGAGCGGGGGGGGACCAGTAGGGAGTGTTGGCAAGAGCCCAGGGTGAGCTGAGCACTAGGAGAGCTGAGGACGGCGAAGGGCTTTTCCTATTGTGTTGGGCACAAGGAGAACCAGGACTGTGTAGGTCCATCACTGCCTAGGACAGCCTAGGACTGCTGTGTCTGCGGAGAAGAAAGAGGGAAGAAGAGCTCACTCTGCCTGGAGGAAATCTGCACAGAGAATGACCCTGCAGGCAACAGGGCTTTCAGTAGGTCCCTGTGGGAAAGGAAGAGTGAGGCAGCGTTGGTCTGCTATGCTGGGGTCAGGGCTTCTGACTCACAGAACTCCTGGCCAGGGCACAGCGTGGCCCCGGACATGAGATCTTGAATCTGTGGTGGTTGCCTGAGAGGCCTCGGGATCATGGGAGACATGGAGGTGGCCATGGGGATGGATGAGACTGGAAAGTCAGCTGTGGACCCTGGGAAAGATCCCACAATAGAAGGAAGGGCTGTGCATCTCTAGGCAAGGAAGAGGTGGGCCGTGGCGCTGGCAGGGGCTCCCTGGGAAGAAGCCCTGTTACTCACGGCACTTTCCACTTTGAGAGGCTTCAGTCTGGCCACTGTCACAGACAGAGTGGACAGAGGTTAGGGTAGGGCCCCGGAAGGAGTTTTGTAGGAAAACCTCTGCATTTGCCTGCATGACCTTACCCCATGCAGGGCTGATGCATGTGACAATGGTGACCCTCAGGGGGTCCCAGGTGGCACGCAAAGGTCCCTGGCCAGTCCGTCTCTTCCTGTCCTCCTTCTCATTATTATTTTATCTTCATCTTTTCCTTTTCCTTCTCTTCATTATTATTATTTTATGTTTCCTCCGTTTCTTCTTCCTCCTCTTTATTGTCCTCCTCCTCATTGAGATTTGCACGACAGCACTGATGGGGCATGAAGTTGGACGTGACCTCTACCTAGCAGTTGATGGCGTCCAGATCCACAGTGGTCTCAAGAAGCCATGAGGCTGTGCTAGTTTTGCAAGATGGCATCGGGCAGGGTGCAGATAAACGCACTTGGGGTGGGACACACAATTCCCTCATAGGGTGCTGTGAAAATTAAATGAAATTTGGTGTATGAGCTCTGGCATGGAGACACTTATGTAGTAGACACACAGTGACTTTTACTTTATATCATGAAGCATCCCTATAGCAAATGTTCAGTCCTCCTATAAGACCACGTGTCCCCCTCTTTAGTGCTGAGGACGGGGTTGTTGCATCCCTCGCCCAGGGCACCCTGGACATTTCTGGTGTTCAGGCCTACGTGGCTGTGGTTGGCAAAGGTTGCGGGAGTCATGAAGGCAATCCAGTGGGGTGTCTGCAGAGGTCGCGCTGGGTGCAGCAGGGTCAGGAGCACAGCAGGGCCAGGCTCTGGACAGCTTTGGGGAGGACATTTTGTGGATGTCAGCTGTCCTCTGGAGAACTGTCTGAGGGAGAGGAGGTGTATGTGTATGTGTGAGTGCGTGTGTATGTCACTGTACTATGAGTGGGTGTATGTGTATGTGTGTGTGAGTGTGTGAGCGTACATGTGCGGGTATGCATGTATATTTGTGTGGGAGTGAATGTCAAGGTGTACAGGCCACTTCGGACACCTGGGGACAGGACTTCTGCTGGCACAGGAGGCCAGAGAGACAGACACCAGAGCAATAAGCACCCAGGCCTGGCAGGGAGGGTCTCAGCCATGTGGGGCCCCCACCTGCGCATGGTGGGCAGCCACTCTGCACCTGGCCCTGCCCCTGGAGCGAGCGTGGGTCTCCCCGTTTCCACTTTTGCTTCTCTTCATGAGGGAATCCACTCACCTCTCTCTTCTCCTCACCTGGCAAATGTGTGAGATAAGACCAAATGGTCATTCTGTACCTCTCCTTCCAGGATTTTTCCTTTGGCTTATGCAGTTTTTGCATAGAATAGATGACACCAGACAATCTGTCCTTTTGCTTCCTAAACATTGTACCACAAGCATAGTAAACGTCCCTTTCCAAGCCCGCAGAGAGTTTCATCTTGGGTATGCATCATAATTTATTTGCCATGTCTCTGCAGTTAGACATGTAGATGTCTTATTTTTTCACCACTGTAAACAATAGTGTGATGAACGTCTTTGTTTCGTTCTTTTGTTGGGCAAATCTGACCCCTCGATCTGCCTCTTTCAGCCATTATCAGAGTGTGGTCGGTCTAGCCCCTGAAGGAAGGGAACTTTCAGAGGCTGAGCCCCCGTGTGACCCCCACTCTCACACTGACCCTCGACAGACACCGCACACCATTCTGCATTTTTCTCAGTGAGCTCAAATGGCTGACCCTGGTCTGCTCTGTCCCTAAGGAAAAACTGAGCAGGTTCTCCCTGGGGGCAGCAGAGCTACGCCAGGAGGACACCAGGGAATGGGAAGAGGCTGGAGCCTCTGGGTGGGGCCTCACCTTCTGATCTTATGTCGAAAGCAGAGTATACCTTCTGCTGCAGACAGCAGCTTTCCCCACCTGCACCTGAGCCTCGGCCCAGCAGAGACGAAGGGCCTGCCAAGGAGCTCAGGGTGGGAGGCAGTGGGTAGAGAGCCTCAGGGGCAGGCTGCTCTCCCTTCCCCTGCTGTCACCCTGCTCACGATGCACCCTTCTCTTCCCTTGGGCCCTAAGGGAACATGGCATGTTCCCATTCTCCTCTCTGTGCAGGGGCTGGGCCACACAGAGCCCTGTCCCCTCGTTCATTCTTTCAGCAAAGGTTTCCCGAGCTCCCGTCCTTCCGCAGGCACGATTAGGTGCTACAAATGTGGAGGTAAATCGATATGTTCGGGTTCTTAAAGAGTTTGCCTTCTAGTAAACCACAAACAAGTCAATGTAATGTCCTGCATGGTGAATGCAGGCCATTGGTGCTGGACAGTGGTGGCGGGAGGAGGGATTGTTGTCCGTGCCTGAGAGGGCTGGGAAGGCTCAGGAGGAGTGAGCTGGGGCTGGCAGGTTCTCAGTAACCTTGGGAAGCTTGGCCAGGTGAGAATGCATTAGCTGAGTAGTGGCCACCTTGTGAGTGATCTCGGCCAGAGCAGGCCCCATGGTGGCAGGGACGATCGCCTGATCACACTGGGCTGGGAGAGGAGGGGGGGATGGGTGGGGACACACGACTCTAACAAGAAGCCTGGTTCAGAGAAAATAAAAGGAGACCAAGCAGAAGCTGGACAAAGGGGCTGCTAGGGAGGGATGCCAGCCCGGCAGCCCAAGGAGGGAAGGGTTGATGGTAGAACAGGGAGAGAGAGGGAGGCCATGAGGACAAGGACTGTGAGGTCCACAGTGATCCAGCACTGCAACCTCCTGATGCTGTGGCCTCCCCTGTGCCCACGGCACTCAGCCAGGGCCAGGTGGAGCCTGGGGTGGTGCGTGGCTTCCTCACTCTGGAGTCCGCTTGTTGACAGATAATGGAGAAACTCCAAGAGCGCCCCCAAGGCCGGGCTGCTGCCCCCAAGCAGACTCCCTTTCTTTCCCCAGCCCTCGTTCCCTGGTTGATTCCTGGTGGCAGTCTCCACCAGCAGAATCTCTGCTCTTCTCTCCACTGGGCTGTGTCTTCTTCTAGGGGCTGCTGGTCCCGGGCGTTTTCCGGCAGAAGCCTCGGTCCCACCCGACTCGGCTGTTGCTGGGAGGTGGGCTCTGGATTCCAACGCCATCCAAGCTCCTCTGTTCTGAGGTGGCGCGGTCCTTACTCCCATTTCACAGACAGCAAAGGAGGCCCCAGATCAGGGGGCTTATCTGACATCAGCGTGCATGACACCGTGTGCCCCTGAGGAATAAAAACCTGTCTTACTGCCTGTTGTGTCCTCTCTCTGCAGAGCCCTGTGGCCAAGTGTGTCCAGCCCCGCTGTCTAAGGAGTCTCCAGCCTCAATGCTTCTCCCTGGGCCAGGCGCTCTAGGTCCCCAGAGCCCCGATGACTGAAGGCTGTTGGAGCATCCACCTTCCTCAGCTGGTGGCCCAGGGCCTGCTGATCAACATGGCTGCTAGGACGGGGGCTCCGCCAAGCCCTACCGTGGAAAACAGGTGGCAGCTTAGTGAACTGGAGCAAGGCTGGGGCTGCAAACCTGTGCCACTGAAGAAAACAAACCACTCGGGCTCCAATGCTGCCATGGGCAGGGGTGGCCGGGACATAGCCTGTGCTGAGCTGGCGTGGGCAGCAGCCCTGGACAAGCCCAGACCAGGCGGGCCGCTGCCCCAGAAGGTGCACGGGGAACAGAGGCAGAGTGCATTCACAGAGCTGCCGTGGCTCAAGGAGGGGCTGGGGGGCTGGCAGGCCCACGAGAAGCAGCACGATGACCCTGCAGACCAGGCTGGCCCCCAGCGGCTGACCCGTGATGTCCCCAGGGACTCAGCCAGCAGCACAGTTGTCTCTGTGTGGCCCAGTGGAGCCCAAGGGGAGCAGAGAAGCGCCTTCAGCAAACCAATCAAGCGTGCAGCAGAGGGGCCTGGGCCAACCCTCGTCTTCCCAACAGGTGACTCTTCAGAGGCCCCGGGGGAGCTGTCAGGACTCATCAGCACTGCAGACATCCCTTGTTGGGGCCAACGTTCAACGTCCAAGCTTTTGGTGGCTCATTTCTGGAACTTACAAATGTTCCCATGGAATGCTGCACTCTGCAGCGCTTTCCTGGGTGCCCCCAGGCTGTGGCTCGAGCACACTGAGGCCCAGGCACCCACACCTTCGCCATCCTCGACTGCCCCATGGGCCCTCCTGCCACCCACGCTCACCTCCCTGGGCTTGTCCACCCAGAACTGGTGTGCAAAGTGCAGCCTCTCCTTTCGCCTGACGTCCGACCTGGTCTTCCACATGCGGTCCCACCACAAAAAGGAGCAGGGGGGGCCTGACCCGCATTCTAAGAAGCGGAGAGGAGAGCCCCTCACCTGCCCAGTTTGCCGCGAGTCCTTCCGGGAGCGCCACCATCTCTCCCGGCACATGACTTCTCACAGTTAACAGGTGGCTGTGCCACACAGCATGGGAGCAGCGTGCAGCCTTTGGTGGTGAGGTGGCGGGAGCTCCCTGGCCTCGCTTTGGGACACTGTCCCAGTGTCTGCAGGGCTGTCTCCTCTGGCATCCATAGATGAACAGCTCTGGCATAATTTGGAAAAGAGCCGTGCTTGTGTGATGTGCTTTGAAGGAAATGCAGCCGTGAAAACACATGCTGTGCTTTGCTACTCCAGGGTGTTGGGACCGGTAGGCACAAGGAGTGGGGCTGCCTGGCACCACCCCTCCTGCTCCGGGCGAAGCCGATTGGCGCCAGCACGTGCCTTGGAGGCCGTAAGCGTGGGTTCATACCTGGGCTCTTTCACAACTAGCTGTGACCTTGGACACATTGCTTTAACCTGCTGAGCCCATTTTCTTATCTGTCAAACGGAGTTAATAGCTCCGTGTCTTAGGGTTGTTGTCAGGGTCACAGGAAAAGTGTGTGGCAAGTGGCCAGCACACTGCCCGGCAGATGCGAGCACTGAGTACCTGAGGTTACTGTCTGTGCCGGCCAGCTGTTGTTGGTCGTAAAATCTCAGCGGTGGCTGGCCAGCAGGAGCCTCTGCACCTCTGTCGCGGCTCTGGGCGCTGGCTGGGGTTGAGGTGGACTGCGCCATGCCTGGGCCAGGTCGCAGGTGGGATTTGAGTCCGTGCTCTCGCTCTTCCTGGGTGGATGGTCTCTGGCTCCAGCTGCTGTTGTGTCTGCGTCCCCATTCTGATGGTGGCTCCCACTGTCTTCCTGGCGTCTGGCCTTGAGCGTTTGCTGCTCCTACTGTGGTTCCATCACACTCCTCTCGCATGTCACCTACTTAGAGGGGCCTGCCCAGGTGCCCCCTGGAGCAGTCTGCAGCCTGGGCCTCTCCCCCCACATCCCCTGTTGTTTCCATCAGAGCACACCCCCTAGCATCTGAAACCCTCTCTCTGCTGTCTTGGTGATTGGCTCTGTCCACGCTGCCAGCTGCTTGGGGCAGACGCGGGTCTGCTTTGTTCACTGCAAATGCCTAGTGCCGAGTGCTGCGTGGCACACTGTGGATGCACAGTAAACACCGTGGGATTGATTTCTGTGTGAGAACCAGGCCTGAAAACGTGTATGACCTTCCTTTGGTCCTGGAGGGTCTTGCAGGGGCTGCCCCATGTGGGAAGCCTCCATGTGCACTGAACTTCCCTTCCCCCCACCCCCGTCTCCCTGGCCTGGTGAGGGATGAGCTACGGGTCCCATTTCATGCTTTTATCCAGCATCCCCGGGCACCCATTCTGTGCCAGGCTGTGCACCAGGCCCTGGGGGATGCTGTGAATTTGTTCCATGCATCTTGTCCACGGGAAGGTCCCACTCTGGTGTGAGGATGATTAGAGAACAGTGGGGTGCATGCTGAACAGAGGCATGGGCTGGGGTGCTGGGTGCTTGTGGGACATGCCCAAGTCAGTGGCACTTGAAGGAGCAGAGCCCCTGCTGAGCCTCAAGATGAGCAGGTACTGGTGACTCAGACGGAAGGGACAGTAGCCTGGAGAAAGGTCACTCCTGAGCCTGCAAATGTCCCGGCATCCTGCAAGGCTGGTGTGAGGAGGAGGAGGAGTTGACAGGCGACCCCCAGAGATGGAGGTGCAGGAGGGCCCCGCAGGAGAAGAGTTTGGGGGAGGGTGATGGGGCCTGGCTCAGAGAAGCACTTTGTGGGGAGTCCTCTGGCTGCAGCAGGGAGGGGGCCGGAAGAGGGAGACTGAGCCCGCTAAGCTCATTGTCCTCCACGCTGGGAAGGAGGCAGAGCTCCCTGCAGGCACCAGCGTAGCACTGCCATTCCCACAGCGACGCTGGGAGGCCCCTGCCTGGCAGAGAGGAGACGAGGAGAGCTTGGCCCGGCGACCCTTCATGTGCTGCATGGGGTGGAGTTTGCACACAGACAGGCCGAGCACAGGAGCAGGGCCTCCCTCCTTGCTGTGCAGATGGGGCAGGAAAGGGCCTCTCAGGGCGTTCTGCATGAGGCTCACACTATGCACTTGAGAGCCCCTGTCATTTAGTCCCCGTGACAGCCAGGGATAAATGTTGAAGTCCCATTTCACTGCAGGAGAGCTCAGCTCAGAGAGGTTAATGACTTCCCTTAGACCAGGGGCTCATGAGCAGTAGGCAAGGATAAGACTCTAGGACCCCGACACTGCACTCATGTCCCCTCCAGGCTGCCACGTGTCCTCTCAGCCCAGTGTCATCCCATGGTATTGTGCATGGTTCAAGAATCGGATGGAGAGGCAGCATAGAGTCCCTGTCTCAAATGTCAACTTATACCTTGCTGCTCTCTCACACACACACAAGCACATATGCACACACATGCACATGTGCACACACTTTCTCCTTAGCATTTTCCACTCTCTTCCATACTACATGTCTTAGTGTTTTAATGGTTTATGTAGTTCACGGTGTATTCTGTCACTGGAATGAAAGTTCTGGGACGGGTTTTTGGCTTTTTGCTGAGTGCTCTGTCCCTGGTGTCAAGAACAACGTAGGCACATAGCAGGCGTTCCATAGACACTTGTTGAATGAATGAATGAGTTAATGAAAGAAATGCCTGGTTCTGGCCTAGCTCCTGCCAAATCTCAAATCAGCTTCTCAGGAGGGTTTTGGCCTCTGTCAAACATTGTGCACAGTTGTCCTTTTCTGGCTGATTGGATTGGTCCATAGTTTCTGTGAAATCTCTTTGGTAGGTGAAAATGTACTATACCAAGACACAGTAGACACTTAGAAGTGAAAGGGACTGTAGATTTTTAGCCCACCCCTTCACCTTGTAGCAGTGGACTTTGAGGTCCGCAGACATGAGCTGATGTGCTCAGCATCGCAGGCAAGGGGTGGGGAGCTCAGGGTCAGACTCAGGACCCCTGAGACATCTAGACCTATGAGTCTTCCCTGCCCACCCACACTCCCTGAGGAACCTGAGCTAGACCAGGCAGTGGCTTGCATTGCACGTGGATAGAATGGCCTCAAATGTAATTCTTACTAACTGTGAGCAGGTACACCACTCTCAAGTAAGACAGGCTTTTTGAGAAAATTAGAAGTTATAAAGAAGCATAACAATACATCTTGCCCCAACTCTACTTTTTAAGATGGAGTTAATTAAGACTGATGTAGGTGCAAGTTACTTTGCAGCCATTTAAATCGACAGACTCAAACATGATATGGAGCTGGTGACTTAGTTTATTAGTGTGGCAGTCCCTAATTATCACCAGGCTGTGTTCCCTGAGTCCCTTTGGGAGTCAAATTCTTTCTCATCCCTTTTTAAAATTCTGCCCTCCTGTATCTACTGAGGAGTAGACACTTTAAATCATGACTTTGCCCAGCTCTAACATGGCTATGGTCTAAATGTTTGTGTCCCCCAAATTCATAAGCTAAAATTCTAACCCCCGGGGTGATGGTATTAGGAGGTGGGGCCTTTGGGAGATCGGGATCAGTCCTCTTATAAAAGAGACCACAGAGAGTGACCTCCCTGCTTCCCAAGGACACACATAGAAGGTGTCACCTATGAACCAGAAAGTGGGACCTCACCAGACACCAAACCTGCTGGCACCTTGATCTTGGACTTCCCAGTCTCCAGAACTGGGAGCAGTAAATTTCTGTTGTTTATAAGCCACCCAGTTTATGGTATTTTTTTTTTATAGCAGCGCAAATGGATTAGGCTTGGGAGTGGCACTGGAAGCGGTGGTGGTGATGGTGTTGGCACTGGGAGCTCACACATCCTAGGTGAAGGCTCCTCAGAGCCAGGCCAAACACAGGCCTCAAGAGAGGCGAGAAATCAGGACTCCATGTGGAATTAGCTGTCAGCTGACTCACTTGTTTTTTAAACACTGGTAGATGGCCAAAATGGGTTTAAAGAAGCATGCCAGTGGTGGTGGTGATGAGGCAGGGGCAGGAGCCTCCAGCTGGTGACCCTAACTCTATTATGCTTCCAGCCTGTGAACAGGCCAGTACTGGGCCTGCCTCACCCATACCACGTTATTCCTGTGAACACTGGAAGAGAACCACGTTACTTAGGGGTGAAAACAGGAGTAGCCCCAGGGCCAACCCCACATCCTTCATTCCCTTGAAAGGTGGTGGCGCCACCTGGAGGCTGCAGGCCTCCTCTGCAGGCCACTTCTCTCCAGAGACGGTTTACAAGCCCTTGCCGTTTGCATAATTGTGTTTGCTTTTTTTTTTTAGCAGTCTCGTGGTAGGTCTAACGATCTTATAGCAAGATAAGAATCTCATAGAATAAACCTTTTACTTAAAAGATAAGTCATTCTTGAATGTGTTTCAGTTTGTGACACTTCCTAGGACAGAAACATTTTCGGAAGCCTATTTTGAATGGGGGTTGGGGAGGCGGTTTTGCAGGGAGGAGAGGAAGTGTTCTTTAAATTTAAATTTTTCTTCCCTGTCCATCCTGTGTTTTCCTGGGGCAGGAGGCAGGAAGCCCTGTTGTCTGGTCCCTTGCTATTCTAAGCTGCTTGGATTAGGCTATTTTCAGTGCTGGCCGCACCGGTTAGCAAAGCAGAGAGAAGGTCCTGGCCAGGCAGCAGCTCAATCTCACAGAAGCCAGGAGATAGGAGATGGGCGCCCTCCAGTGGGGACTTGGGGGGCAGGTTTCCCAGCCCAGGAGTGGTCCGGCTCATGGGTTTTCTTCCTGACTCACACCATGCCTTGTTGCATGGCAGCTATGTGGACAGCCAGCGCCCTCACTGACATGTGGCTGCAGCCGTGCACTGTGTGTTGGGCTATGTGTGGGGCAGATGTAGGGACACAGAAAGAAGGGGGTGATTGGGACAGTGGAAGAGGAGGGGGTGATTGGGACAGCTGGGGCCTGAAGAGAGGAGGTCTGGGGGCCTCCCAGGTGCCCCCTTTACATTCCTTTCTGGGTGGAGCATGTCACTGCAGTGGTGCCTGGCCTCTCGTGCCCTGGGGGATTGGGCCATGTCTCCAGCAAGAACTTGAAGGAGGAGGTCACCTTTTTCTTTCT